GGCAGCGCGGGCGAGGCGCAGCTGGGGGTGGGGACAGCCGGGGCGCAGGCCCACGCGAGCTGGGCGGGTGCAGCTGGAGCCCGCCTGGAGCCCGGGGAATCCTTTCAAGTTCTGGGTTCTCTTTGTTGCGCAATAGAGCCCTGGGGCCACGAGGCTTCATTGGCCCGGGGCCGTGACGTCACGCCAGGGCCCCGCCCGCAGACCCTGCCGGGGTGGGGGGGAGAGGCTTCTGGGCCGGCTGGGTCCCACGCCCGGCACACCTGCAGTCCGCCCAGCGACGTGCTGTGGGGGGAGGGGAGAAAGGAGGGGCTCCGGGATCTGGGGGAGGCAGGAAGCCCCAACCTGAAATGCTGGGGGGACGCTTTGAGTGTATTGCGGAAGAAACTTCCCAGTGGGGAGCGGCGACACCTGGCTGTGGACCGCACTGGCTGGAGCCCAGTCTGGGGTCTGGCCCTCCGCGTCTGCTGCTCCCTTTGGGGAATGAACAGCAGGCGCCTGATCAGCCCGGAGGAAGGGGTCTCGGGGTCCCTGCACCGTTAGCCCCCTCTCACTGTGCATTTGGAGGACTTGGTATTCACCCCGCAGTGGCATTCTTCCCCCATCCCAGCACCACCGCTCTCAGGAGTCCTAGACTCCAAACCCGGCCCTCGCACTTCCTCCCTGTGTGGCTCTGGGTTCTGAGCCTCAGTGTTCCCATCTGCAATGTGCTAACAGCAGGACCCATCCTGCAGGGGTTCAAGGAACAAAAAATGCCTGTTCCTGCTTGGGTTTGAGGCCAGGATTTTGATGTCAGCAAAGTGGGGCTTGGGTCCTGGTTCAGACACTTCATAGCTTGGGCAAATGGTTTAACCTCTCTCTGTCTTTGCTGGACTGTCTTTAAAAGGGATAATGTCAGTATTGATCACACAACATCTCTGGGGACACTAACTGGGAGTGTGCCCGTTCCCACTGCCTCCTCCCTGTCCAGGCAAGTCACGTCCTGCTGCCCACAGACCGAGGGCCTTTGCCTGCAGTGAGACACTGTTAGGCCAGACAGGGGGCAGATCTGGCACCATGAAAGGTTCTGCCAGTTGCCCCCTGTGGCACCTTCCCCACCACCCTGCACCAGTGGTCAACAGGGCCCCAGGTGACAGGGGCCAGACAGAGCCTGTGGGGACTCTGAGGGAAGGCCTCCCAATGGGACAGCCAAGGAGACCCAATGCGGGTGGAAATAGATGCTGGCCCACCAGGTGCATGCTGAATCCAGCTTCCTGTTTGACAACATACAGGTCACTGGTGTCTGCAGTCTCTGGCCCACAGCAGCACCCACACCCTGCCGGCTCTGGAGCCCCCTGGGCTTCCTCACCCCAAAGCTGTGCTATCCCAGGTTCTGCTTCGGGTGGCTGTGTCTACCCACAGGTCTGAGGCTTACCCACACCCCCAAGCTCAGTGTCTTGGCCCTTAAGGGACAGCAGAGCTCAGGGAGCTGGATGGGCTGTAGTACAGACTTGTACTTGGCAAGCATTCGTTGAGGGCTTACCGTGTACTTGGCTCCGTTCCATGGCATAGCTTGTCTACTACTCGCAGCACCTTCCCGGGTGGGTACTATCATGTCCAGCTTACAGATGAGAAAAAACAAGGCCCAGCTGAGTCTTTAACTGGCGGGCGGGCGAGAGTCTAGCAGCTCTTTACCCAACCCCATGTGGCCTCTGTATGCTGAGGTCAGAGAGGTTTGCTGGACTCTGCAATGGCTGGTGGAGGGTCCCATGGGGCCACCCACCTCCCGTACTGGATCTGGGGTGGGGAAGAGGAGGATGCTCTGTAAGCAGAAGCCTAATGTTTGGGAAGGAATCTCCCTGTCCCCAGAAACCCCCCAACCCCCTAGGAGGCCCTTAAGGAGCACTGGTATGGTCCAGAATAGACTCCTCCCCTGGGTCAGGGGTCTGGGCAGGCCCAAGGCGGGGGCACAGGGATGAATGAGACTCATCCCTGAGGGATCCTTCTGTATCGGGGTGGGGGGTGGGGTCAGGCCACAGACAGACCCAAAGAACCCTAGACGAGACAAGAAGCGGCGCCAGGCAGCAGGACCAAGTGGTACTGCTTCACCTGCCCTGAGAGCCAGGGGCCTGCCATGGCCTGTCCATTCCAAGCTGGGTAACGGCCCCTGGGGGATCACATGGCTGTGTCTGGTAACAGTAGGTGCTCATAAGCGTTGGAGGCAAGAGAATTGCAACCAGTGAGATTAAACGGGCTCTGGAGTAAAAAGGGCCAAGTGTGCAGAACACACAGTAGGCCTTCACTTAGCATTGTACTTCTCCCCACGCTGCCTCCTCCAGGCTATGGCCAGAGATACCTGTTGTGGGGCCCCACATCAGAGGGACCAGCCAGTGCTCGGCACAGGGGCGTGGCTTGGGGCTGCTGGGCTGGGAAGGGGGAGGGAGGGACTTAGAGCCCGGCTCTCTGGCAGGATGGACTGCCTCTGCAACGTGTGCATTCTGCCCAACATCCTGTGTCCCTGGCTCGTGGCCATAGGCTATCGGCAGTTCCTCCTTGGGGTCAAGGTCTGGTCCCTCGGCTGTCTACAGGCCCATGCTGTCCCAGGCATCCACAGCATAGCACTGATCGCCTCCCCAGAGCGCCCACTGTGTGCAGACCTGGACCCACAGCATAATGCAGCTGTCCCAGGAACAAACCCAGATTCCATGCCTTGGCCAGGAGTGGGTGGAAGGGAGGGTGTTTGCACTCACTGGGCACCCCTGGCTAGTCCCCTGGTGTGCCAGGGACATGGGCTAGAGGCCCCGGAGAAGACAGGAGGGCGGAGCAGCCCAGCCCAAGTCAGGACCGCACAGGTCATGGTGCATCAGGGGGCCCCTCCCTCTCCCACTCCCAGGAGGCCCGAGAGCTTTGATGCCCTAGCCAGAGGGACAGTCTCTGAGCACTCCCTGGCTTCTCCCCCACTGCAGATGCTCGCGGTCTCCGGTGTCTCCGAGCCACCACGTGTGAGGGCCTCTGCTCCGAGCCCGGGCCTGGCCCCCGAGGAGGATGTCTCAGCTGCCGGCCAGCTCCCGTCTGCACCATGAGTGATGAGCGGCGGCTGCCCGGCAGTGCGGTGGGCTGGTTGGCGTGTGGAGGCCTCTCCCTGCTGGCCAACGCCTGGGGCATCCTGAGTGTGGGAGCCAAGCAGAAGAGGTGGAAGCCGCTAGAGTTCCTGCTGTGCACGCTGGCGGCCACCCACATGCTCAACGTGGCAGTGCCCATCGCCACGTACGCCGTGGTGCAGCTGCGGCAGCAGCGCCCCGACTACGAGTGGAACGAGGGCCTCTGCAAGGTCTTTGTCTCCACCTTCTACACCCTCACCCTGGCCACCTGCTTCTCCGTCACGTCCCTCTCCTACCACCGCATGTGGATGGTCCGCTGGCCCGTCAACTACCGGTGAGCCCTGGGGCACGCGCACCTCTGCACGTCGGCGTCTGGTGGTCTTAGAGAGGGGGGCGTGTGGGCAGCGGGCACAGAGGCCACCTGGGGTACCCGTGTGCAGAAACGCCCCCCCGTGGTGTGGCGTGGGCAGCCCGGAGGCTCAGGAAGGGCTGCTCTGGGCTGCACACCTGCATGTGCAGGGGTGGCCTCGGTGTCCGGTATGGAAATGCGTGGTGGGAGGGATGTGTGACTACACGCATGAGGATCCCCTGTACAAGGGACAGGCCCCACTTTGCTGGCCGTGCCGTGACGATGAGGTACCAGGGGGCCAGGGCAGTTGGGGATCCCTTGCAGGGCCCCAGGGCTCGGGGAAGACCCTGGGAGTGACACCTCGGTCCTGCCCCCATTCATGCCAGGCTAAGCAACGCCAAGAAGCAGGCGGTGCATACGGTCATGGGCATCTGGATGGTGTCCTTCATCCTGTCCGCCCTGCCTGCCGTCGGCTGGCACGACACGAGTGAGCGCTTCTACACCCACGGCTGCCGCTTCATCGTGGCTGAGATCGGCCTCGGCTTCGGCGTCTGCTTCCTGCTGCTGGTGGGCGGCAGTGTGGCCATGGGTGTGGTCTGCACTGGCATCGCCCTCTTCCAGACCCTGGCTGTGCAGGTGGGGCCGCGGGCCGGCCACCGCGCCTTCACCGTGCCCACCATTGTGGTGGAGGATGCGCAGGGCAAGCGCCGCTCCTCCATCGATGGCTCTGAGCCTGCCAAAACCTCGCTGCAGATCACCGGCCTGGTGGCCACCATCGTCATCATCTATGACTGCCTCATGGGCTTCCCCGTGCTGGTGGGTGAGACCGTCAGCGGGTGGGGGAGGCTGGCCGGGGATGTGGGCTCTGGGACAGCCCTGGGGCTGGGCGTGCTCCAGGCATCAGGTGGTTGAATCCTCCCATCCAGTCCTCGGAGGGAGGGAGGGGGCGGCATTATCATCATCCCCATTTTACAGATTTGGAAACTGAGGTTCAGAGTGACCCACCTAAAGTTAAGGCAGCTGTATTAGGACTTGAGCCCATGTCAGGGGACTGCGGAGCCCAGGATCTTTGTGGTACACCGTAGGGGACATTCCTCACCAAGGTGAGGCCCATTCGAATCAGAGGGTGTGGAAAGTGAAGTCACATACCCACCTGGCCCAAGAATAAAGTCTGGATTCAGTAGCCATGTGCTTGCACCCACAGGGTTCCAGCCCAACCCCCTGAAAGTTCTGGAGTGGGGTAGGGAGGGGTTTCGGGACAAGGACCAGCCAGAGACCTTGTCCAAGCAGCTGGGCAGGGCTATGTCCCTGGAGTCACCGCAGGACACAGCTCCAGAAGGTGGCAGGTGGGGTGGCAGCCTCAGAGTCGGGGGACACACTCGGGGTGCAGTCCCAGGCACCCTGTGGCCCCGCCCTCAGTGGGCCCGGTAACCCCCCACCTAGGTGCTGCGTTCTGTGTGCAGCCGGGGCCCGCGTCTCCAGCCTGTGTTGATGGAGGGAAGGAGCGTGTATACAACTGCAGAATCAGAAGGGGACGGCCGTGGAGGAAGAGCCTCCCCAGCTTCTCTTCAGGGCATGGAAGGGAGTGCAGTTTATGGAGCCCGCTCCATGCTGCAGGCCTGCTATGGTGTCTGGGATCTTTACCTCACTCTCTGGGGTGTTCTTGGCCCATTTCACAGATGAGGAAACTGAGCCCCACAGAGGTTCAGCACCTTTCTGAGGGTCACACAGCTCACACAGCAGAACCAGCATGATGAGTGTATCACACCCAGTTCTGCTCTGATGGGGGAATAATTAAATGTCACTCTGGGTGGGGGAATGAACTCTCCTGGGACAGGAGTGAGGGTCCCTGGGCAGGGACCCAAAGGCTCCCTGGTTGATTCTCAGAAACTCCTTTGATTCTCCTCTGAGGTCCAAGACCTAGACCCCCCGTGCCCCCCAGGGTAGGGGTAGGGCCAAGGAGGCCACTTGGCCACAGAGGAGTGGGGATGGCAAAAAAGTCCCCGAACTGGGAAGTTTGACACCTGGTTCTCCAAGCCCCAGTCTCCTCTTCCCAAAAAGGGGTTGGTAAACCATGCCCCCGCCTCTCTCCTCGGGCAGTCATGAGGCTGGCATGGGGCAAGGCCCTCTGTGAAGGGCTGTCCATGCACACACGGGGCTATGGCTGTTCATGTTGGCAGCCGACAGCTCTTGGTGGAGAGGGACTTCTGCTCACGCTCTGGCTCTTTCCTGCCCGGGAGCCTATAGCTCTGTCTCCCTCCTCCTCCTCTGGCAGGTGGGAGAAGTGAGGCTGGGGGGGCAAGCTGTGTGACAGGGGTCCTGCCAGGTGCCAGGCCGAGCCGTGTGCCCACAGGTGGTGAGCTTCAGCAGCCTTCGGGCGGACGCCTCCGCACCCTGGATGGCACTGTGTGTGCTGTGGTGCTCGGTGGCCCAGGCCCTCCTGCTGCCCATATTCCTCTGGGCCTGCGACCGCTACCGCGCTGACCTCAAAGCCGTCTGGGAGAAGTGCGTGGCCCTCATGGCTAACGATGAGGACTCAGACAATGGTGAGGACCGCCTGGGAGCGGCCCCAGGGGAGAGTGGTGCCTGGGTGAGGTCAGCAGGATCACAGGTGACCATGTGCTTCAACCCCCAAGGGACCTAAGTGTCCTGTGGGGCATTCTCCTACCCGGCTTGGCTGTCCCAGGCAGGATCTGTGGACACCAGACTGAATGCGTTCCACAGAGCTTCCACCCTTAGGGCTCCCCGGGGGGCTCCCGTAGACCCAGGTGCCGTCTCACCCCAGCAATAACAGTGTTGCCCTCGGTTGAGGCTTTGCTATGGTCAGACCCTGTGTGTATTTAGTCCCCCCACCAAAGCTCACCAGGTAGCATCCCATCCCATCCCCATAGAGGAGGAACCTGGCTCAGGTGATCTCCGCAGTCCCACAGCTAAAAGGTGGCAGAGTCAGGATCTGAACCCAGCCTCCTGCCCTTTGTGTGTCTCTGAGGGTCCCTAGAACTCACTGTCCGGCGCTCTCAGGTTTCCACGGCCCTAAGCTTTTGCCCCACCCTGCAGATACCAGCCTGGAGGGTGGCATCCCCCCGGACCTGGTGCTGGAGCCCTCCCTCGACTACAGCTATGGAGGTGACTTTGTGGCCCTGGACAGGATGGCAAAGTATGAGCTCTCGGCCCTGGAGGGGGGCCTGCCCCAGTTCTACCCGCTGCGGCCCTTGCAGGAGGACAAGATGCAGTACCTGCAGGTAGGGACAGGGCCGGGCTCCAGACGCCGGAAATGCGGGCGGTGGGGAGTATCGGGATCTCCCCAAGGCCTTGCCTCTCTGAGCCTCGCGTCGGTCCCCGTTTTCCAGGAGGGCAGCCCGGGTTAACCCCGCCCGTCCTGACAGGTCCCGCCCACGCGACGCCTCTCCCACGACGACGCGGAAGTGTGGGCCGCCGTCCCGCTGCCCGCCTTCCTGCCGCGCTGGGGCTCGGGCGAGGACCTGGCCGCCCTGGTGCTGCCCGCCGGGCCTGAGCGACGCCGCGGCAGCCTGCTGGCCTGCGCAGA